TATTGATCCCATCTAGAGTATTTTTAATTTCATTTATTGTGTTGTTCATCGTTGCTTGTTTCCTCTTTAGTTCTTCTAGGTCCTTTTTAAATGTTTCTTGCATTTTCTTTATTCTATTTCCAAGATTTTGGATCATCTTTACTATCATTATTCTGAATTCTTTTTCAGGTAGACTGCTTATTTCCTCTTCATTTGTTAGGTCTGGTGGGTTTTTATCTTGCTCCTTCATCTGCTGTGTGTTTTTCTGTCTTCTGATTTTGCTTACCTTACTGTGTTTGGGGTCTCTGGAGCTCCTTTAAGCAGCACTCTTAATCCCTCTCCTCTCACACCAGGAAACAAAGAGGGAAGAAAAAGTCTCTTGCCTCTTCGGCAGGTCCAGACTTTTCCCTGGACTCCCTCCCGGCTAGCCGTGGCGCACTAACCCCCTGCAGGCTGTACTCATGCCGCCAACCCCAGTCCTCTCCCTGTGCTTCGACAGAAGCCCAAGCCTCAGCTCCCAGCCGCGCCTGCCCCGGCGGGTGAGCAGACAAGCCTCTCAGGCTGGTGAGTGCCAGTCGGCCCTGATCCTCTGTGCGGGAATCTCCCTGCTTTGCCCTCCGCACCCCTGTTGCTGTGCTCGCCTCCCTGGCTCCAAAGCTTCCCCCTCCGCCACCCGCAGTCTCTGCCCGCAAAGGGGCTTCCTAGCATGTGGAAACATTTCCTCCTTCACAGCTCCCTCCCACTGGTGCAGGTCCCGTCCCTATTCTTCTCTGTTTATTCTTTTTTGTTTTGCCCTACCCAGGTATGTGGCGGGTTTCTTGCTTTTTGGGTGGTCTGAGGTCTTCTGCCAGCATTCAGTGGGTGTTCTGTAGGTGTTGTTCCACGTGTAGATGTATTTCTGATGTATCTGCGGGGAGGAAGGTGATCTCCGCATCTTACTCTTTCGCCATCTTCCCCGAGACCTGTAAAGCTTTTGATTTCTCCATCGAATCTGAATGTGATCCTAGCCGGGTAGAGTAATCTTTGTTGTAGGTTCTTCCCTTTCATCACTTTAAATATATCATGCCACTGCCTTCTGCTTTGTAGAGTTTCTGCTGAGAAATCAGCTGTTAACCTTATGGGAGTTCCCTTGTATGTTATTTGTTGTTTTTCCCTTATTGCTTTCAATAATTTTTCGTTGTCTTTAATTTTTGCCAATTTCATTACTATGTGTCTCAGTGTGTTTCTCCTTGGGTTTATCCTGTATGGGACTCTCCACACTTCCTGGACTTGGGTGGCTATTTCCCTTCCCATGTTAGGGAAGTTTTTGACTATAATCTCTTCAGATATTTTCTCGGGTCCTTTCTCTCTCTCTTGTCCTCCTGGGACCCCTATAATGCGAATGTTGTTGCATTTAATGTTGTCCCAGAGGTCTCCTAGGCTGGTTCATTTCTTTTCCTTCTTTTTTCTTTATTCTGTTCCGCAGCAGTGAATTCCACCATTCTGTCTTCCAGGTTACTTATCCGTTCTTCTGCCTCAGTTATTCTGCTATTGATTCCTTCTAGTGTATTTTTCATTTTAGTTATTGTATTGTTCATCTCTGTTTGTTTGTTCTTTAATTCTTCTAGGTCTTTGTTAAACATTTCTTGTATCTTCTTGATCTTTTCCTCCATTCTTTTTCTGAGGTCCTGGATCATCTTCACTATCATTATTCTGAATTCTTTTTCTGGAAGCTTGCCTCTCTTCACTTCATTTAGTTGTTTTTCTGGGGTTTTATCTTGTTCCTTCATCTGGTACATAGCCCTCTGCCTTTTCATTTTGTCTATCTTTCTGTGAATGTGGTTTTTGTTCCACAGACTGCAGGATTGTAGTTCTTCTTGCTTCTGCTGTCTGCCCTCTGGTGGATTAGGCTATCTCCACATTTTGTTTTAATAGCCACCAAAAAGGTTGTTTCATTTCCTCTCACTGACCCTGTCCACTATTTATGTAACCCTTCAACATATCATTATAGCAACATATATAAATATATATCACACATTTATTCACACATATGCATATTCTAAAGCACTGCAAAGACACAGACTAGGCTTTAGCACAACTGAGGTCTGCTCACATTTCACTTAAAAATGATCACTGGTTCGTTTACCGAAGACTTTCAATGGGCTTGGATTTTTGGATTTGTTGTTTCCCTGGTGTCACTTCTGTCATCCCCAGTGTCTGTCTCCTCTAAGTTGGCTGTCTTAGTGAAGCAGTCATCTGAACACCAGGACACGAAGACCTCTACCATCACCCTGTTTGTGTGTTTCCATGAACCAAGGCACAGCCCTGGCATTTCCCTACCCCACGAATGGCCAAAGATTCAGTGTAGCAACAAACGTTCATTTTGATTCAAGGTTTTGTACATTCCATCCATCATTCTGCTAAACCAGCCAGCATATTATGAGAAAAGCCTGAATATTACAGTATTCTGTTAGAATGCAGGTGAGCTATTCCCCAGAATCTGTGGGGGAAAGAGGTGTTTAACTTTTTATTCAGACTTGCAAGAGGATACTGTGGTGACGATCTACCAGGTCAGGGACATCTTGGCTGATGGCTCAGGAAAGCAAACCAAGGCAGGTACATAAGACACAACCTGAGGCCTCCTGGAATATTCTTCTTAAAATATCCTATTGTTCCACTCGTAATGTTTTTGTCCCCATGGTAGTATTGGATACTGGATTATTATCAAACACAGGATGATCTGCTTAATGTTTCCGGCCCTGTCTGAATTTATCCATAGGAAATCGTACTGTTCTTGAGGAAGAGGAAGACCAAGACCTTATCTGTTCTAGGTAACTATGAAGAAACATGGGTCTTAATTCAGCAGTGACATCTGGTCATCTCAGATGCAGGGAAATCTGAAAGTGCTGAATATGCCTATTTCTTCCATTCTGGCAACCACAAAGTGTCCCTTTTAATAATGTTGTCTGCTTTCACTGCGGTACTTGTATAGGCCCCTTTATGAATCCCTCTCAATTATAGTAACCTACAGTCAGTTGATGCAGGGGTACTAATCAGCCACCCGATTTCTTGCAGTCTCCTGTTCTCTCCTTTCTATTAAAACCAGCGTGAGATACATATCTGCCTCTGCCTGTTTGGCCTTACCACACTGGCAGGTATTTGATGGCAAGGAAAGGAACGAGAGAAAAAATTCGTATCACATCTCAGTATTAGAGAAATTGGCCTTGAAGACACAGGACTTCTAGGAGCCCATTAGGCTGCTAGAGCCTGTTCACTTGGCTGCTACATGTAAATTTCACCAAAAACCTATGCTATTGTTGAAGCCGCCTTTACAGTTTCTAAGGGCGTGCATGATGTGACTGCTGTGTACTGGGGTAGTTCAGTCTCCTTCCTCCTGGGCTCGTTTCTGATCAGTGCTCAGAGCATGTCATGCTCACTTTCTCCCCCTCCCTCTCTCTCCTTTTCCCTTTGCAAGCACCCGCCGGCCCCAGATAGGAAAGGATTTTTATACCTCCCTTTATGGGGACTTCCCATTTCTTTTCTGTGACTGTTAGGCAGCTAGCTACAGATGAGCAGCAGGGGAAGGCAGAGGTGGAGACTCAGGATATATTGTGCATTGTGTCCAAGTGAGTCATGTGTGAGGGTGCATAGGTGTGTGCTTGTATAGGCTAAGCATGGAGTCCAGAGTATAAAATAGTACCTCCCCTTCCCACAATAATGAAATTTAGTGTTTCCTTTTCTACTGTTAAAATGCAACTTGCAGTTCGCTATTCACTAAATGGATTTCCCTAACGGGTTCAGAACTGCAGATTCAACAAATTGATTTTTTTTTTCACTTAATTTTTTCCTTATGCAAAAACCCCATAATGAATCTTAGGCCTCATTCTCCTACGTTTATCCTTTTTCATGCGCTTCTCTGCACTAGCATAAAAGAGTAGGAGAGACTCTTTCTTTGGGAAAAGTTTGAGAAGAAAGTGATGAGAATCTAGTATAACTAAAACTAATGCTTTTTCACTTTTACTTCAGAGTTTTGTTTTTCTATATGTTGAGAATATTCCTAGAAATGCCCTAAGGTGGATCCATCATGAAGTTACCTTTCTAGAATGTTGGTGTCCATGGGATGCAAATGGGTTGGGCCACAGTTACACTCCCTGCTCTCTTTTTGCTAATTTCATTTTGAGTTTCCTGTTTTTCCATTTGTTCCTCAGCCCCTTTGGAGAAGGATTTCTCTGCAAAGCCTTATTCCTGTCCAGGAGGGTGACCAAACAACCTCCATTAACTGTTGACACCTCCAGATTGGAGCCTTTCCTCTCCCTTCCCCCAAATATATGGAAAGGGCCTGTGGCCTGGGTTCTAGGGCCAGGGTTGTCAATAACAGGCCACGTGGTTTTAGTTAGTCCCTAGCCCCTTGGAAACATAGCTCCTCATCTGTAAAAGGTGGAACTAGACTTGGAAACATTCTGAGGTTCCTGTTGGCTCTCACATTCCGGGGCTTTCCCTGTAGCCTGCCCCTCCTCCTCAGAAGGCAGGGACGTAGAGATAGAAGAGGGTGTGTTTCTCTACCAAGGATCCTCTGCTCCCATAGCAGTCTGTTTCTGAAAGTGTACAAGGGATGCTAAGCACATCCATCCTGGTACATGTGAGAAAGTCATCATTCGGTCCAGATGAAGGGGATTCAAGAGGGACGTACGTGGCTGCTGAGGATTGGGTGGTGGGGATTCGGTTAAGGCTTTGCAGCAGCTTTGAGCTGGGATATCATCAAGCACTGGTGGGGTGAGGACAGGGGTCCCTAGATCCTGCACCACAGGCTGGATGAAAGTTTAGGGAGGTATTTCCTCTAACTCATGTACCTCACTCTCCACTTCAGCCAGCCTGTGGCTCCCCCTTCAGCTCCTCCTGTCGACAGGAGCTCAGCCTGCCCCTGGCCTCTGTCACCATGTAGCCATCCCTCCAGGCTCAGCTATCAGCAGGACCTAACAAAACTCACATTTCATCTCTCTCTCCTCTCTCTCCCTCTCTCTCTCTCTCTCTGTCTTTCACAGATACCAATTACTTTAGGAACTAAGAAAAGATATCGCCAATTTGGAAGAAACCACATTATAAAATGTACCTTTTCCATTTGATGAAAATAAATCTGCAGCAGCAAGTCAAGTTAAAGCCCAAACAGAACCCTGGAGGGATCCTTTCCTGAGAATCAACCTTACAACCAACAACTACTCTCCACACGCCAAGACCCAGATCTGATGGAAGAAATCCCAGTTATCAGCCTCCAAGGGTGATTCATTGATAAGGAGACCGATGCTTTGATGGACACACAGTTTGGAGAGACCTTAACTCTTGCTCGTCTCAATGTTCATCCTCCACACACCGGCATCAGGAGCAACTGGAAGAAGGCAACACGTCAACCCGGTCATTCTTTGCCACTAGATGGACTGTACTAGGATCTGAGGGCATTACCTATGCAGTGTTCTTGCTGAAACTGTTTAGCCTGAGTTTCATCATGAGGTAGTTATCAGATGACTGCAGAATTTAGGCCATTGAACAAGACAAGTGGCCTTTCTTCAAACAGTCAACGTCTCCACAAATAAGACAACAAAAAGGAGAATAGGTGTTTTGGATTCCCAAGGACTAAAAAGATTGTGTCAGTATATTTCTTTAGTCCTTTGGAACCCAAAACCTCTCCTCAGCTTTCTGTGGTTGTCTTCAATGGTGGTGACATTGACTTGCTTGCTGAGGACAGGTCAGTTGTCTGGCTCAAGGGTCTACATTTTGCAGTTGTCTGATCATTTCCTCAAGGGTTCAGCTGAAGCCTTTTTGCCAAGAACACCACTTACTGCATGCTGTGTGCTTCCAAGCACAGCCCCTTTGGAGACTAAGAGTGTCCACTTTGCCTGTCACCACTATTGTCATTTTAGCATTGGACACTTTGTTATGCAGGGGCCATGAGATCCGTTCACTGGAAAGACATGTTTTCTGTCTATAATCAGTAACTTGATTAGCGGTACTTTGAGAGTTTATGAATATCTTGTTCCGTGATGCTCGTTCTCTAAATATTTTACCATCCCTTATTGTTCCCTCATGTATGTCAATTATCATACTTGTGTTTGTACCCTGGACATTTTCTAATTCAATCATTCTGTAAACTTGTATTCCTGGCCTTGTGCTGTGGGAAAGACAATCCATACCCCTTCCATATCATTAAAAGTGTTTTTGAGTTTCACTGTGGACTCATGCGTTTTTAAAATTCAGTGTTATAATCCATTATTATCATGATTGATTTGAGTGGGTATAGATATAAATTAATATAAATATTCTTGTTTCTCCTATTCATCTTTATATCTTAAACTCTCCCACATTTTTTAAGCTATATTTACCATTTGTAGGCGATTGTATTTACTGTGTTTGTTTTCTGTGTTATTTTATTTTATTTGTGTGTGTGTGTGTGTTTGGTATTTACAAAGGACTGGCTAAATGCACTAATTTTAGCTAGGGCACTAAAATTTTTGACCCCTTAGTCCCTTAGTATGTTGTCACATTTCTAATATTTGGAATATAAGTTTTAAATGACATCTCTCAACTTCAACTTTTACCACTGTGATGATCAAGGACATTATTCTACTTTTCTCTTTTCTTCTGCCTTTACCTACCACTTCTTACAGTATTATTTCAAGCCAATCAACCCTTTACATTCGATTTTTCCCACCTTGTCCCCACCTCTTTTTTTTTTTTTTTTTTTTTTATGAGGGAACCGGCAAGGTAGGGGTAGGAGCTGGAGGGGCCCACCGGGCCCTTTATACACCCTAGTGGCACAGGATGGCTGCCCCACCCTGGGAGTGCCAGCAGCCTCCCTGCAGAGGCCCGAGGGTATGCCCAGGCTGCACCCAGAGCAGGGCCCATGACACACTGGCTTAAATCTACAATTACATATATTCAATGATGACCAGCTGTACAAAACTCAAAAGTTTCCTCAGTCAGCTCTTGATGAGTAGAGTTCATCCTTAAAGATTCCTCATGATGGAGTAAGGACTCCCTAAGTTTGGCATATTTAATACTTGTTTTCTATTGCTTTGATACATGGACAGCTTGACTGAATATAAATGACTTGACCATAATGAATTTACTGATTTTTTAAAAAACATCTTGCTTTGTATGTTCTATTGAGATGTAGAATGTAACTTTCTCTCCATTGAGGGCAAAGGGAGGCCTGGAGCTTCACAGAAAAAAAATTTTTTTTTTAATCTTAAAAATAAATAAATTAATTAATTAAACAAAATAAAATCTTTTAGCTCTATAGGATAGGTCTTAGAGTTGACCATTCCAGTTCTATTTCTCCCAGGTCTCTATGACTTTCTCTCTGATCCTTTCTCATTATCTTTTATTCATTACTATTCTGTTTGATGCTTTCATTTTTTCGTTCAATGTCCCTTCTAATTTCAGACAAATATGATCCCTTATGTACTTTGTCATTTAGCCTCTTTTCCAGAGAATTTTCTTTTCCTTCAATTTTTTCTAATCTCTGCCAATTCTAATTTCTCATTTCTTCTTTCTTGTCTACTTCTGTTTTGTGTTGTGTATTTGTTATGTGAAGTTTTGGGGCTTTTCCCTGTGTGTGTGTATGTGTGTGTGTGTGTGTGTGTACAAATGCTTTGTTCACAAACACTTAATTCAGATACAGATGCCGTTTTACACTTTTCCTATGTTTTGTGATGGATTTTGAAGGGAATTTTTTCATGACCTGAAATTTTTAACTATTTATGTTTTTTATCCTGTCATCTTAGAATAAATGTCTGTTGTATGATTTTCATTTTAACATGACTGGGTTTACTTGAACGAGAAACAGCAGTTTCTAGGTAGGAACAGATTAGTGCTTTGAGTGGCTTAGTCGATTTCTTAGTTCTAGATCTGTCTTGTGCAATTATTTTAGCAGATGTAAGGTTTTGGGGAAAGGCATGGTGTGTCTCCTGATTCTGGGATTCTGTTTCTTCCAGTAGGACCTTTAACTTCTACCAGTTACTTCATTCTTTCTCTTCACCACAAGCTTCCAAAGGATGCTACCTTCATCTAGGTCTCACACTTGATCCCAGTAATTGTGCCTCCTCAAAATTGTCACCCTCTGGTTCTCTGCACTGTCAAACTCCTTCCTGTCAATTCCCCAGACACCAGAGCTATATACGACCAGGTCTTAGGCATCCTCTGAGTTTATCCACATTCTCTTTCTGTGAGTAATTTTACCTGGGTTCCCTCCTGAGTATGTCCTCCTTGCTCTCCTCTCCTGTATATGCAGAGTCTTTGCTGATCCCTCTACTGCTGTGTGGCTCCAAGACCTGGGTGAAAACAAGCCAGTTGGAATCCACAGTGTTCTCTGGCCTCCGGTTGTTTAGGGCAGGGTTATGAGTGGTGTCTTTGACTCTCTATGTTAAGTCTCTAGCCCTCTGAAATACGTGTTGATAGATTCAGCTGCCGTTATCCTAGGTGGATCTGTGGTCTCCTATCATTCTTTTTCAAATGAAGAATTTCAATAGTACACAAAATTGACAGAATTATATAATAGAACATCCCCATCTTTGTCAGCCACGTTCAACATTTATCAACTTATGGCTGAAATTGTTTTACTACAATTCCACCCACTTATCTTTTCCTATATTATTTAAAGCAAATCTCAGACATCATATTTCATCTGTAATTATGCCAGTATGTTTCCCTAAATGAAGACTCTTTCTGAAAGTATTATCATAGCACTACAATTATTCATAAATCAATTTAAAATCTTTAATATCATAAAAATAGTGTTCAAATTCCCAGTTATTGTTTTTAAGTTAGTATCCTTTCTTGGGAGCCAAATAAAATCCACAAATTGTAATCAGTAGGATATGTGTTTAAGTCTTTACATATATGTTTACCCTCAGTTCCTTCCTTCCTTCCTTCCCTCCTTCCCTCCTTCCTTCCTTCCTTCCTCTCTCTCTCTTGCTCCAGCTCTCTCTTGGTCTCTTGCTGTCATTTTTTTTTTTTTTAAATCATTCATTTGTTGAAGAAACTGAGCTGTTTGTTCTGTAGCATTCCTGCAGTCTAAATTGAATACCTGGGTGTACTTTCATAAATTCTCTTGTCCTCCATATTTCCTTTTTGGTGGTAGAATCTAGAGCAGTGCTGTAATAAAAAGAAAATACAAGGCACATATGTAATTTAAATTTTACTAGTAGCCACACTGCAAGCTAAAAAAGTATAATCACACAATAATATAAATATGACCTATTCAATACATAGCTAGTTAATGCTACACAGTAAAGGAAATATAATTCTACCAGTTTTAAAGCTGTGTTTAATAGAAAACTATTGTGCATGTCTTCAGTTTTTAAGTTTACATTCACATGAATTATAAATTAAATATAATTAAAATCCAGTTCCTCAGTCCTACTAGCTACATTCTAAGTGTTCAACAGCCATATGTGTCTAATGGCCCCTATTTTGGACCTGGCAGATACAGAGACTGATGAGATTCACGTCTGATTATCTTGGCAAGACTACCTCAGAAGTGGTGTGTGCTCTCTGATCAGGAGGCACATCAAATCCTGTGTGTTTCCTCAAATAATATGAGCAGCTCTTGGAGTTCAAGGCCTAGATCCATTAACTGATTATGTGGAGCAAAAGGGTGATGTTCCATCATCATGTATTATTTAACTGGAACACTTGTATAAAAAGAAACTTCCCCTAAATACTAAATACTGTTTAGTTATTTAGTGGTACCCTCTGTAAAGAAAACTGCAGCTTAATGAGCAATTCCCCAAGCATCTTCTGTGGTCACCAGTTAGTTTATTTCTTTTTTTTTTCCCCTGTGCTAATATGAATTCAAAGTTTCAAACACATTGAAGTATTTCAATTCATGGCAATATAGTCTTTACTGACACTCCAATTATCCTCTCTTTCAGTAGGGAAAGTGACTTTAAGCTGGCTCCTTCATTCTTTTGATAAGATCCTAATAGTCTTTGAGAACTTTCCTGATATCAGTATGACAAGGTGCTTCTGTCTCATCTTGAATATTTTCTGCCTGAGTTGGACTCAGTCATTTCTCTAAGAATCTCTGGTTTCTTTTTGTGCAAAACATTATTCTCAAATCAAATTGTGTAACCTAAAGATACTCATTGGAATTGGTTTATTTCTAGGTCTTTCCAGTGGACAGAGCTAGGAAATACTCATATTTGTATGTATTCATGTATTCACATATATCCACATTCACAATTCAAATTCAGAACTACAGGCTTTTTATTGAATGTCTATCGTACATCTGCATCTCTTTTCTCTAATACCAGTATTTTTGTTTTTAAGGACACTGGGACTAATAGAAATACGATATTTCATAGTCTCCTTTGCTTTTTCCTACATTACATGGACAAAAGAATAAAGAAATACTAACAATGCCAATAACAACACAATTGAAGAAAGCAGTTTTTAAATTCTGTCCCTGTCCTGGGGTACATATAAATTATTGTGTTTTATAGCCTCTTGGGAGAGTTCTTATCCATATGCTTGTTCCACAAAAGGCATACACAGGTTCGTTTGTTACATTGTGCTTTCAATGTCTAGAGGCGACATTTTAAAAATTAATTTAATTTTATAATGATAAAAGAATGAATGTGGTTACCAACTCAAATCAAACCAAACAAGGCATATTCACTATAGTCTAGCCTGGACTTAAGATCTGCACGTGTCTCAAAGGCCTGGGTGGATGTGGGTCAGGGATCCCTGCTCTCCTCAGACGCCGGAATCCTTGGCCTTCCTCCTCCTTCAGGCTGAGCTTGGGACGAAAGGACGAGGTTTCCTGGAGTGAAGGTTCAAATCTTAGCCTAACAGAGGCTTTCCGTGTCCAATGGAGACTTAGAAGCGAGAAATTCTGAATAAAATGGGAATAAACTGGGATAGGATCCATTAATATTCGGAATAATAGGGCACCTGAATACAATACAGTACTTCCTTCCCATCCAGGTCTGGAACCCTCGACCCGAAAGCTAAGACGCTGTCACCCTGGCTGCTCAGCGACGTCACAGCCCCGCACCGCGACCCTTTACTCACAGGGACCAGCGCGCAGTTACAAGACGTGCGGTGTGAAGCCCCCTCGCGAGGCAGGACTCAGTGGGCGCAGCCTCTGCCTTTTGCCCCCGAGACCCAGGGTGACCCGACGAGGGGGTGCCACCGGCTCGGTCCCTGCGCCCCTGGGCGGCGGGGCCGGGGCCTCCGATGGCCAGCGACTGGCAGAGTCGCCAGGGTGCAGCGGGGACGCCGCGGACTCGTCCCCCCACCTGCCCGCCATGGCGTCCGCGTGGAGCGCGCCTCTTGGAGCAGCTTGGAGCTCCTCTTCAGGAGGAGGCAGCAGAGCGCGGGGGACGCGGCTGCGAGGCGTGGGCGGCGGCAGGAGGGTCGCGGGTCCGGGGAGCCTCCTTCTCGTGACCCAGACGGTCGGGTCCGAGAGCAGGACTGAGGAGGACGCGGGGTCGGGAAAGCGCGTCCACGCAGCGCGCCTCTGAGGCGCGAGTTCGCTTTCGGGAGGAGACCGAGTAAAAGACGGCTGGGCGCTGCCTAAAGAGAAAGGTCCCACCGAGATTTGAACTCGGATCGCTGGATTCAGAGTCCAGAGTGCTCACCATTACACCATGGAACCCTCTGCCAGGCAGTCTGCTGCTCCCGCCACTGAACCTGGCTGCGCACAGCCCCGAGAGCCCAGGAGCTGCCTCCCGCCGGGCGCTCTCGTCACTCCGCCCCGAGCCAGCTTCCTCCGCGACGCCAGAAGACGCCTGACTCGCCTGCCCTCGGCCGTCTCTTCAGGTTAGTTTGTCGTGGAATGAGATGAACTCCATTCGGGGTGAGCTACAGGGAAGGGCTTTTAGGGCTCCCCCAAATCCACCTGCTCTGCCGGCATTTCTAGAGTTTTCTGCCCTGAGGTAAAATTCCCGCGAGGAAAAAAAAAAGGTTCCTTTCCTCTTCTTTCCCAGTGTCCTATTCCCGCTGCCCTGGGAGCTCTGAAGACCCTCAGAACAGCCCCTGGGACTTCGTGGGATGACCCCTCCCTGGGACCCCAGGTCCAAGGGTAGAATCGCTGGGTGCTGGGGGCTTTGCCGGGGGATCCGGCCGCACACGTCGCACTGCAAGCGCCCAGGGCGGCTCATGGCCTGCCAGGTTATGTGACACAAGGTCCTCTGCTGAAGGCGCGGTGAGGCCAAACAAAAGGAAATGCTGGAGGAAGGTATATTGCAGGGCCACGCACGGAGAAAGGGGACTCCTGCTCAAAAGACACAAACTCCCTGATAGGTTGTGAGGCAGGAGATAGATGGGCTCCAGGCTACACGTTTAAAAGTGCCCACCTGTTCACACTTCCTGGGGTGAGAAGAAGATGGGCTCCAGGCCCGACATTCATCACCAGTCCCCTGTTTACATTTACTGAAGCAAGAGACAAACGGGCTCCAGGACTACATATTTATGACCTGACTCCTGTCTATATTTCGAGATCTGTACCTGAATATAAAAGCCAGCAATAGGGCTTCCCTGGTGGCGCAGTGGTTGAGAGTCCGCCTGCCGATGCAAGGGACACGGCTTCGTGCCCTGGTCTGGGAGGATCCCACATGCCGTGGAGTGACTGGGCCTGTGAGCCATGGCCGCTGAGCCTGCGCGTCCGGAGCCTGTGCTCCGCAGCGGGAGAGGCCACAGCAGTGAGAGGCCCGCGTACCACAAAAAAAAAAAACAAAACAAAAAATCCCAGCAACAGAAATAGGGTAAATAACCAGACACTGGATATTTTTATGGCAGGGACAGAGTGGGACTAAACCCTGTTAAAAGATCAAGTGGTCATCCATTTCCCATCCTTGGGGCAAGGGAAACATTGCACCTTGGGGGGTCAAAAAGGAGGGGGCACCACCCCATAATATGTGATGCTAAAGCCATGTAATGCTAAGGCCTCTGGGCTGTAATCCATCTTGGAAAAAAAGTTGCTCACGTGTGTTGGGGAGCGTCCTAGGGCAGGTCAGGTGTGGAAAAAGAAACCAGATAATTGGCCAAAGGTAAACAAAGACCTGGAAGAACTGCAGTATATAAATGACTTAACGGCCTCTTTACTGTGCTCCTCCTCATTAGGGAAGACGCCCACGCCCACACCCTTCCTCTCTGGGTGGGCATCTCTGCCTTGCTTCTATCTTCACTAAACAGTTTCTCTGTGTGCTCTCCCACTTCTTGTTGTGCTATGTCTCTAATAATAAACTTTGTACCTGTTTCTACAGTTTTACCTCCATGAGAAATTCATTTTTCACTGGGGGCAAGAGCCAGGGGGCGTGGTGGCTAAGATTCCTAGTTTTCATCCAGGCTACCCAGGTGCAATTCCTGGGCAGGGAATTAAGATCTTGCTTCATGCCCCCCACTCACTGCTGCCTCTCAGAGATCAGTTTCAGGGAAGAGTTTTTATAGGCAAAATTTGGGGTGCGGGGGTGGCTGCAGAGTGTGTGACATTCCTCTGACTGGTTGGTGGTGAGGTGACAGGGTGGTGTTCTAGGAATCGCAATCAGCCTCTGGTTCCAACCAATCTGGGGTCCAGGTTCTTGCACCCACTGTGAATTTACCATCCTCCAGACCCGGGTGGGTCCCTAGTTCCTGTAGAAGACCTCAAGAGACCTGTATCAGATAGTTATGTATATTCCTTGAGGAGGAAACTGCACCCTGCCCCGTGGCTGCATTATTGTTTCTTGACAGCCTTTCCTTTGTTTCTGCATTTCCTCAGTCCTCTCATTAGTAACTATTTGAATCTGCGCTTGGGAATTCCGTGAGGAGGCTGAAACCTTTTTCCTACAAACAAGAAATGGGGGACATGGAAAGGCTTTTGTACATGGGAGAGACCCACAGGGTTCTGCTCAATTTCAGTGCCCTGTTTTCTTTGATACTTCTCAGTCTTGAGAGGAACAAAGGTGTCAGACAAGAAAAGGAATAATATTTTTGATAGGTTAAAAATAAACTCCCCAGAGGAACTTGTTAAGGGGATGTGGTTTCAAGGTGTGGTCAGGTGTAATCCTATTATAGGATTTGGGCTTTAGTTGGGTGATTTGTGGGAAGATGGGAGGAAGCAGGGTTTGCTCCATATTGAATACTGTTAGCATGGGCACTTCTATGATTGGAATAAGAAAGTAACAGTCATTTCCTTATGAAAAGAGGAAGATGTTTAAAATTTTGTAGGTTGCACAGTGACCTTGTTTTTCTCTGTGACTGGACAAAATTCTGAGGTAGCCTGTCTGAAGTTGATATTCTGTATCTGACATTGTTTATTTCCAACATGAGAACAAATCAGTCAGGCTGTGAAATCCCTATAACAGAGAACAAGAAAAGAGAGCACTCTGGTCTTTTAAGCTGTAGGTGCAAACCTGACTAGGTATCAGAGTGACTTTAACAAAGTTTCTGGAATTTTCTGTAGCTCAATTTCTCACTTAAAAATGGGACAAATAGGAGTTCTTCCTACGTGGGTTGTCCTAGGTTTTAAATGAGAAGTGCAGTTAAAGCATTAAGCCCAGTGCCTAGCACATAGTAAATACTCAATACATGTTAGCTTTTATCAGTCCATCACTCTCAGCATTTTTATCATCTGCCTTATTCTTTTAAATAACTGCAGACCCTTTCAGGGTATGAATGGATTATTATAAATAAATGTTCTCCAGTTGATGGACATGAAATTGACTCCAGTGTTTATTTATACACATAATACTGCAGGGGACATCTACGTGTCTATATCTAATCCAGTAATATCTTGGTATACTCCGGGGATTGGTTCCAGGACCCCCGTTCATAGTGCAGATGCTCAAGTTCGTTATATAAAGTGGTGTAGTGTTTGCATGTAACCTATGCACATCTTCCTGTATACTTTAAATCATCTCTAAATTACTTAAGTTAAACACCTAATACTATGTAAATTCTAGGCAAATGTAACAGGGAAGAGCCAATTTTGACTCCATGTTGGATCTGTTTCTTTGACTTTAGCCTTTGCTTTTCGTTGCTTTTGCTATTATAATCATACATAGTGGCCTGACTCAGGGAACTCTACCCAGCTGTGAATGGCTGCAAGAAAGAAGAAATTAACACGTCCCCACCCTGAGGCTGGCCATTCCAGATGTTTTGCAAGACTGATGGTCTTTTTACTTCCTCACAGCTTCTCCCTCTCTGATTCTATAAAAGAAATGGGCATCCAGACCCCGATAAGATAGTTATTTTGAGACACTAGTCTGCCATTTTCTCATTCGGCGGGCTTTCCAAATAAAGTCATATTCCTTGCCTCAACACCTTGTCTCTGATTTATTGGCCTGTCATGAGGCGAGCAGAGGGAGCTTGGACTTGGTAAAGCAAATACGCCCAACAAATGTAAGTTTTGCTTTTGGAACTTTCTGGAAAATTTTTTCTGAATATTTTAATCCATGGTTTGTTGAATTTTTGGATGACCAACCCATGGAAACTGAGGGCCAACTATTTTCCATCACTGCTTGTGTATTTCTCTAATAGCTATTCCTGTAAAGGCAATTGCTCAGTTTAGAAATATACTTGTACATACATATCTAATTTTGCTAATGCCTGCCCTATTTCCTTGAAAAGATGCTTTACCAATTCATATTTCCAATCATTTATGAGAATACTCTTTTTCTTCATACTCTTGCCACACGCAATAGCTTCTGTACCTACCATTTATTTATTTTATTGCGGTACGCGGGCCTCTCACTGCTGTGGCCTCTGCCGCTGCGGAGCACAGGCTCCAGACGCGCAGACCTAGCGATCATGGCCCACGGGCCCAGCCGCTCCGCGGCACGCGGTATCCTCCCGGACCGGGGCACGAACCCGTGACCCCTGCATCGGCAGGCAGACTCCCAACCACTGCGCCACCAGGGAAGCCCCCTACCATTTATTTTTGCCAACAATCAACCCCTTATTGAGAGATTTCTTCAAGTGAGTTCACACTCATTGACTTAAGTGACATCCTGGAAAAGCTTAAATCCTATGATTTTTCTCTGTTCTATTTTACGACTACTCTATTTTCTCAGGTAATCTGAGCCAAGTGCAGTGTAAATATATCACTGTTGCTTGGTGGCTGCTGTTGCCTGCTGGGTTTGATACTGAGCAGGGCCCTGTGGGGCTCCTGGGCACAAAGCCTTTCTGTGTCCCCCATTTCTTTGATTACAGGAAATAGCCTTCATTCAGGCTCCATGACCTTCCAACGGGCAGATTCAAGCAGTTGCTAATTAGGGAAGGGAGGGTATGTGAGACCAGGGAGAAACAGTCAAGAGAAACAATAGTGAAGCCTTGGGGCAAGGTCCTGGTTTTCCATCCAACAGATACACACAAAGATATAATTGAGCTGTTTTGCAGATACTTGAAACCCCCTCCACGTGGAAGAAGTTAAGGATTAACGATGGTATGCTGCCCACAAGCACATAGACCCCACACCAGTTGGAACCTGAAGGTTGATGATGCTGACTCCTACTTATCTCACCACCAACCCATCAGAAGAATGTCCCCAAGCTGATCACGCCCTCTTTGAACAATTACTATAAAACTTCTCACCATCCTCTCCGGAGGTGGGGTTGGGGTGGGTGGGGCACAGTTTTTGAGGCGCTAGCCTGCTGTGTTCTCTCTGCCTGGCAAAGAAATAAAGCTACTGTTTCTCTTTCCTCCGAAATTCTCTCTCCATATTTCTATTCAGCACCGGGGTACAGAAGCTGAGATTTCACACATTCTCCTTGGAAGGAAGTCACTCTATGCAGCCTACACTTAAGGAATGGAGAGTTATGCTCCAACTCCTGAAGGGCAGAGTATTTATGTAAGTTGTTTGAAATTCTTCTGTATGGGAGTTTTCTCTATTCTACCCCTCTTATTATTCTGTCACTTATTTATATCAGTATGGACTCATGGGTATTTTTTATACTTTATATTATAGTCCAATACTAGGTTATTTATATTGTTGTTCAAATTGTTCCAGCTTTGGCCTTTGTAACCACTTTCAGTTGGTTCCTGTGTCCCTGTGACATACCCTCATCAGTTTGCTTTTTGAGCACTTCCTTACTTTCTGGCACTACAAGAAAGCATTTTTTTTTTTCTTCTATAATATAATTGGGAAAATGATATAACCTCTCAATATAATTACAGAAGCAGGATGTTGTAAATTGATGAATATTAATACACATTCATCCGTAACTAGGGCTTTGTATCTTGAGTTGTTTAGAGTTCACTTTCCTATTCACATCCTACTATTACCTTGGTTTAGAATTTAACCAATGATTTTTTTTTTGGTAACCTTTCATATTATAAGTAAAATGAGAGCATCAGTGAACTTAGAATTACATGCCTTTATTTAAAGAGGAAACTGGGGTACTTATTAGTGATAACTAGGAATTATATTATCAAAAGACTGTCAATTCAAAAAATTTCCATGCTGAAAGAGGCAAATTTATATGTTAAAAGAAGGAAATGAAAAAGAAGTGGCTTTCAATTTACTTTTGAACCAGAATAGTCTGCAGATTAAAAGATACTAGGTCCATTTTAATAGAGGATAAATCCCCAGTATCACAAGGATTATGGAAGAAAAAAGACCTTCTAATACTCAAAAAGCATTTCCACAGGTGTAATTAGGCAAAATAGCAGGGAATTGTACAAATAGTTACATGATTAAGAGGAAGTTGTCATTCTCACATTTCTGGTTCTCGTATTTATTGTACCTTGCGAAAGATAAAAATTTCTACTGTTGTTCTTTCAGATGTTCAAATTTATTCTTTGGTTAAGCAATAGGCAGCAATCCCAAACTGTATTACACCGTAGCTTATTTATGAACACACTTGGCCGGTACATCCAGTAGCTTTCTTCATGAAATTCAATGTGCCCAACAACTAACACTTAGTTTACTTCTTGGAAAGACAAGAACAGAGCAGAAGTTCTATGAGTGAGAAAACAGAATCAACAGCAGCACTTGGACGTCAACTGGAGTCCCTGGTTTTCATTTTATTTGCTTTGTTTTTCATAACTACAATGTCTGACATAAGAAGAACTGTTATAAGCAGAATACCCCCTATATTTAGTTATCATCAATCCTAATTTATTACGTAACTGACATCTTCGAATTAGTCTCCCTGAATGTTATGTGGTTCACTGTCCACATACCTGAAGCAGAGAAGAGGGAAACCCTGGCCTATTAAGAATTCAGTCAATCAATCAATGCTTTCTGAGTATCTGCTTTGGGCTCAATATTGGGCTAGGAGCTGCAGAAAATAGAGAAGAAAGACACTGTCTCTATCCTTAAGGGCCTTATAATCCACTGGACTAGATAAGATAGATGCATATGAAACAGAGAAAAATGTAAGACTTTTGGTAAATCATGTGGTTTTGACTGCTAAATAAAAATGTAGAAGAGGGTAGTTAAAATCGAGCTATGATAAGTCCTTGAAGGATGTGGAAGAAATAGATAAGCTGAGAACAAAGAGGAAAGGATTACAAGTCAATATATATAATGTAGATTATATATTGTAGAAGTTTGGCAGTGAAAGGAAGGAGGAAAATAGGAGAGCACCCAGAAAGGGTATCAGGGTTAAATAAAAAAGTTCTTTCTCCTCCTTGCAGAAGGGAGAGTTATGCTGGTATAATCAATTGAAGAAAACCACGTCTTTGGGCATGGGATGATTGTGCCTCTGACTTTTCCACAAAAATTTAGGAAGTTCGTCAATATCAACATTGTTCAATAAAGATCACCAAGTGAATAAGCACAAGTTCTGAAATTCAGATTGCTGAATGTGTCCACCCAAGCACTAAAATACTGGCTGATGGTACCACCTTCCCAGATTCTATAGATTACTCATACCAAGAGCCAATGTGACCTGGGTATGCTGTCACATGACAGCCAGCAAAGTGGCCTCTGCAGATTTGTAAATCTACCTACAGATTTGTAATTTAACCATATCTACCTCTCATTAATTCATCACTGCCTTTCCTTTCTCTGGCAGCTCTAATAGCCCTTCAAGTAATCCTTGCCAAAATAATATGCCTGGTTTTCTCTCCATGTGCTTTTTCCTACTTGACTTTTCTTTTAGGCCCTAAACATAGAATTTTCTTAAGCTTTTCTCTCCTTTCCCATCCATATTCAAACCACTTGGTGGTATTTCTCTATTCTATTGTCACAAACTATTATTTCCTTTTCCTTCAACATATACTCTAAATCCTTAAACAGACACGAGGACAATAAATACAGTACAACATTGCTCTTATTAAGAAAGAAGTGGGAAAAAATAACCACCTATCTTCCTAGGAGAATTCTTACCTTTTGGCCATATCCTCTCGAGCCTTAGCTATTTCTTTTATCATTTCATTTTGTGAGGGCAATGTCTTTATCCCTAAAGAGAAAAATCAAAATTTTAAGTGTAAAATTAAAATTACCTCATTATGAACACTAACCCTATTAACAATTACCATGCTATGGAAAATTCAAAGGAATACAGGCTAGTTGTCTGTACCAAGGAGGTTACACCTTCACTTGATCACCTTACCCTACCACCACCAGAATATAATCATTAACCTCAGTAGCTTACTCTTTTCTACTTTGTCTTTGTAAGGTATTTCTCCTAATCTGCTTTCCAACCAAAAGCTGCCTCCTCCCTAACATAGTCTTTCAATTGGGAAATGAAATCTGGACATGAGGAAATGATAAATGGCCTTAAAAGTGTACAGAAAATGAGGTACAAAGTAAAAGGAGGGGGGAGGATTGGAAACACACCTGTACTTGTACTCTTATTAAGAAAGAGGATTTATACCACAGGGAGAAGGAAGTAAAAGTAAACTCTCAGTCCTGTTGTATGCCTACAGTTCCATGGAAGATAAGCCTTACCTTCTAAATTTTTTATTTACTGAGAGTGAGGCGTAAGGTCAAGGGCAACTCATAATACCCAATCTTAACAGATAAATTTAAGCACCAATGAACAGTTCCAGTAGCAGGAATTTAACACCAAGGACATGGCTAGACAAAGGTAGAATAGTATTTAAGTTGACATAGACAACTCTCAATTTAAATGATTAGCTTTATGCCCGGATTTACAGGCACTATGCCATGTAGAAAACTTTAGCCACACCCAACTCTAAAGTGTTACTCCACGAAATTCTGGAACGTGTAATTTTAGAATGGGAATATATCTTACCTAATACAATCCTCTGTACAAGTACTCTCAAGTGGTTATCTCATTCCTCCTTAAATATCTCTGGTGATGGGGATCTCATCACCTGAGGAGATGATTTAATTGTTTGGCTGCTCTACTTGCTGGAACATTATTCTTTTCATTGACCCCAGAACCTGGCTCCATGCAACTGGCACCAGTGGACTTAGCTCTGCCTTCTGGGGCCAAGGAGTCTAGTATTAACAAATGACAGCGTTTGCACCATTTGAGAACAACTGTCATAACTTCTTTAAGTCTTCTCATTATTAGCCTTAAAGCCTTAATAGTACTAGTCCCCCATATAACAGGTTTCACATTCTCTGCCACGTGGTTACACTTCTCTGGGCACACTCTAGTAACTATCCTGGTGTGTCCCTCTTAAAACATGAGACTCAGAAATTCAACACTCAAGAAATAGCCTTCTGTGCTTTGCCATATGTTCTTTTCATTTTAGCCTTGGGAATTACTATGTATGTTCATAAGTCAGTGAGAAATCACTGAAATGCTTCATTCGAGGTTAATCACAGGTCTTAAGAGGCTCATGAAACGCATTTTGAGAGTTGATTTGCAAATTATTTCTCATAGTACAACCATAACTTTTACTTCTCTTAACTAAAAACATTATGGAGGAAGAGGTCCATTTCCTGCCTGTGAGAGGCAGCCAATTCATCAAAAAAACCCCAACCAAACAAACAAAAAATCACTATAAATTAGATAGGTAGATAGATAGGAATGTATAAAAATGTGTACGTTATCCAGTGGTGCAATTCTTTATTAATTCATTGGTACTGTTTGTTGAACTGTTTCCTCGTTCAGAGAACATGTCTTTTTTTTTTTTAGAAGATACTTTCATTTATTTATTTTTAATAGATCTTTATTGGAGTATAATTGCTTCACAATACTGTGTTAGTTTCTGTTGTACACAAAAGTAATCAGCCATATGCATAAGTATGTCCCCATATCCCCTCCGTCTTGAGCCTCCCTCCCATCCTCCCTATCCCATCCCTCTAGGTGGTCACAAAGCGCAGAGCTGGTCTCCCTGTGATATGCTGCTGCTTCCCACTAGCTATCTGTTTAACATTCGGTAGTGTATATATGTCAATGTTACTCTCACTTCGCCCCAGCTTCCCCCTCCCACCGGATGTACTCAAGTCCATTCTCCATGTCTACATCTTGATTCCTGCCCTGAAACTAGGAGTATCCTCCTTCCTATCTTGCTCCTTCTCTTTTTTTTTTTTTTTTTTTGCGGTACGGGGAGCTCTCACTGCTGTGGCCTCTCCCGTTGCGGAGCACAGGCTTCGGACGCAGGCTCTGCGGCCCTGGCTCACGGGCCTAGCCGCTCCGCGGCATGTGGGATCTTCCTGGACCGGGGCACGAACCTGCGTCCCCTGCATCGGCAGGCGGACTCTCAACCACTGCGCCACCAGGGAAGCCCAGCTCCTTCTCTTATATTACCAGTTTAAATCAATGGCCATAGCACCTGAGCAGATTCTTTTCTCGCTTTCATCTCCAACCTACATTCCATCCAAATCCTTTCAAATTCACCAGTGAAATTTCATGCAAATTTGTCTCCCCATATTCATTTACCTTAGTTTAAAGCCCTCATCATGTCTTACTTGGACTTTTATCA